TACACTGATTTTGTTTAAGTTATCACATGATTGGGTGCCAATAGGTAATCTGCAGAAATGTTTTGGTTTACTGTTTATATGTGTAGCTAAACATGTTGCAGATTTAACAACTATATAAAAACGTAAAAGAATGAACGTACAAAAATGCATTAAAAATAAAAGTAGGAGTTTTAAAAACAACAAATTCTAATTAATTATCCATCCATCCATCTTCTTACGCTTTATCCGGGGGAAGGGTCGCGGGGGCAGCAGCCTTTGCAGAGAAGCCCAGACCTCCCTCTCCCCAGCCACCTCCTCTAGCTTATCCGGGGGAACACCAAGGTGACCCAAGCTAGCCGAGAGATATAATCTCTCCAGTGTGTCCTGGGTCTGTCCCGTGCCCTGGACATGCCCAGAACACGTCACCCAGGAGGCACTCAAATTAATTAAATTAACTTTTCTTTTTTAAATTGTAATTTTTTAAAAGGGGAATTACAAATTCAGATGTCCGGCTTTAGTGGAGGGAACCAAGCAGTGTAATACAGAGTGGTCGTACCAGGAGGTGCGCAGACTGGCTGATCTGACTGTGGAGGAAATGCAGCACTTTGAAGAGAGCATGGCCCGTCTGGCTCTTGCAGACCACTGCGAGGTTCAGGAAGTAAGTGACCCAGTTATTTATGTTTTAATTTGTTTTTCCTTTTTAATGTTTACAGCTTCTTGATTTCAGTGAAATCCAGTGGACTCAATATTTTTTTAATATTGTGGTTGGGTTTCTCTTAAAAATGTCCCTTCATTTATTTCCACATCAGTGCCCACAGTGCAAAACAAGTGTGGAGAGGATGGATCTGTCTAACCTGTGTGTCCAGTGTGTCGAATGCACAGCTGCTCAGAAGAAGAAATTCTACTTCTGCTGGCAGTGTCTGAAACCATGGAAGGGTTCAGGCCCTCGATCTGAACGCTGCGACAACAACGGCTGTGAAAACAAGGACCTGCAACTTTTGCAGACATGTAAAACCATTGATCTGCCTGACGTAAAGGGCGTCACCAGCTGCCCCGCCATCAGACTCTGCCCTACATGTGGCCTGAGGGTGGAGCATAACAGAAAACACTGTAAAAATATCAAATGTCCTCGCTGCAAAATGGAGTTCTGTTTTGTCTGCCTGAAACTAAAGCGTGAATGTTCCAGTTCACCATATGAAATCTGCCCCAGTGGGGTCGCGCCAAGGCAGACCTCCATCCCTGTGTGGAGGAAAACATGAAAACAAGAATGAAGTGTATGTGTAACTCGGGTTCTTTCGTCTTTTGGTTTCTCTGTCTTCCTTTTTCATTATTGGACTCTACTGGGCTAGCTTTGGATGAGCTTGCTTAAAAAAGAAAGTTCTAGAGGTCAACTTGTCTTTGAATACAGTTTTTAACCATCAATATTTTTGGTAACCTTTCTTTAGCTGAGGAAAAAGATGGACGGGTTTATGTCACTTTGATTTTCTTGATCTCTCAGTATGTTTATGAGAGATAAGTGAGTGTCTGATATTCACAGGCAAGAACCAGACTGTGGGGTCTGCAGATATCTGGCATTTTTATGGTGATTAAAGTTGCTGTAAGACCAAGAGTCTGACAGACACCATCTCAACATGTGATTGTCACTGCTGCTCCTTCTGATGCCTCATGATATCTGATACTTCTTTTGCTTTAAGGTGTTTACGGTGTCCACAGGAAATGAAATCTCATTACTATACAAATCCTGTAAATCTCACCACTGGCAGCCTCAGATTCTTTGGCATAAAAACATCTAAAGTGCACTTCTACGTTTTTAATTGTCCTCACAGTCTCGAAAACATTTTCACAAGATGGGCTAAGTGCTACAAAGTGATAAGTGATAGAAACAGTATGAAAATGACAAAGTGCAAAGATGAATGAGGAAAACCACTATCCAGACCCTTGTATAAGCTTTTTAAATTGCAATTATCCTTTATAATATTCACATTTGAAACATACAGTTTCTGACATTGCATAAAATAAATCTATTATACTAAATGTCTGTGTCTTATGGTTCTTTGTCTTAAGATTGTTGGGGTTTTGTCTGTTTTTTTGATATTAATATAGGGTCTTTACCTTGCAATATAAAGCTTCTTGAAGACTGTTGTTGTGATTTGGCGCTATATAAATAAAACTGAGTTGAACTGAATCTGAATAAATATTAAGATATAAGATGTGCAAAAAATATTTTTAAAGTTTTGGTGATGTGTAGCCTGCTGTAGTCATGAACCTCCAGGTTAGAGCAACAGCTGATGTCAGCTATTGTTGGGAACAGAAATACTGAGAACAGAACAGTTTGGGAAGAAAAGAAAGCTGCTGAGTTTGCACCTGTAGAATAGGAAACTGACAGAAATGCGACACATTTTTAACAATTAACATTTCCGACATGACTTGAACCCATCACTGATCCGGGAGAAGTGAAAGAGAAAGCGATAGTCGGAGTGTTTTTAACTGCACGGGAGATTGAGATACCCTAATGCTCGTATAGTGGATGAAATATTTTATTAACAAGTATCTGAAGAAATGTCTTAAAACTGTGTTGAAGGTAGGCCTGCATCTTTGGCTTACTTTGATTTCATTTCAAAAATAATCGCGTTTGTTTCTGCCTCCAACAACAATTTCTTTGTAGATCGTCAGAGGGGGCAGAAAATGCGTTTATTTGGTCGACGGGGTTTCAAGAACATCTTTACCTCTGTGGGTAAGATTTGTAGTCCCGAGGCCTTTTTTTTAATTTATTGGTCTTCTGTGTGTTCTCTATAGAAAGTTTTTCCTACGCTCTTCAGACGCCTTTAAATTCAGCCTGGAAACGCTGTTGAAAGAGGAACTGTCCTTTACTCAGAGCGTCTTCAATTGAGCTGCTTTATTATTAAGAGTTTACTGAGATATGATGAGAATTTATACACCTTGCGCCATTTGTAAGGACGTGCCTTTCTTAACCTGCTAGGTACCTGACAAGGAATGTCAATGTCAATTTGTAAATGTCGGTGTTTTCTATACACACTTACGAGCAACAAAGTTAACCAAAATGCATTACAAGTTAATTAATGAACAATAGAAACTAAATACAGTAAAATGAAACGTGAGAAGGCGCAAATACATTATATTGTGACAACATAAACAAAAAAATCTGATGGTACTTAAACGGAACTCGAATGAAAAGCCAGTGTTAAAAAAATGAGTTTTAATTAATTCTATTATTTAAAAATTATTCTTGGTATTATATGTTACCAAATGTAGATCAAATCATTGACTTCAATGGATTGTAGAAAAGACGCAAAAGGGAACGAGCTATTTTCTGACGACCTTCTGTCTGTGCTGGCAGTTTATGATGCACACTCATGTTCTTATTCTGCAATTTACAGAAGCTAATAATAAATACCATGGGCTGGTAAACCAAGGTGCGACGTGTTACCTGAACAGTGTGCTGCAGGTGCTGTTTATGACCGAAGACTTCAGAGAAGCTGTGAAAAGGTTTATTATTGTCACATATGTACATTTAATGGGGTCTATGGTTCATTTTTATTACTTATGGGGACTTTGTCTTTGTTTAGGTCCTCCAAACAAAATGCTGGCATAGGGCTTCTTGGTGCCCTTACAGACTTGTTTGATAATTTACAGAAACAAACAGCAAACACACACAAAATAATAACCCAGCTTGGCATCAACAGAGGTACAGTATGATAACACACAGACAACAAAACCTTTGAATAATGTTTTTGATGTTTCATGTTTTTGTGAAACTTGATCAGTTTACACAACATTTTGAGGGTTTATGATTGGCATTTTTGATTGTAGTGAATAATTATGGGGTTATATATTTTTTTAATTAATGAATATGTTTGTTCAAGACATGCACATATATTTCTCCACCCAGTGTATGAACAGCGAGATGCTGCTGAATGCATCGAGAAGATTTTAACAATGACCAGTCCCGAGGCATCACAGGTAAGGTCTTTGTCAATATCAAATGGAATCGTTTGGTTTGAAAATAATACTTAATAATATGTTTTTGTTCATTTATGTTTTCAGATCTTCTACGGTCTGTTAGCAAACCAAATCACCTGCTCTAAAGGTCATAAAGAGACTGACAGGGATGCACCATTTTGGCATCTTCCTCTGTCATTGGTGGATTTTTACAATCAAGACTACAGTGTAGTAAGTACATAAACTTCTCAGCATGTTTCTGTTTTCAGGACTCACAGCTGCAACAAGTTCACATATTATTGCCAGTAACATATCTGTGTTATTCTATCATTTTCCTTAATAAACACTTTTGTTTGATTGGGAACTATGTATCTACTTTGAGGACACATAAAAATCAGATGATCCCTTAGATCCTGCTTGAGTCAAAACATATTAATCATTATTATTTCTGAAAATGTTTCTTTTTTAAAAATATATATTTCTTGTTACTTTCAATGCATTACAAAACAAACATAACACAGTTGACTTATAGTCTCATGAGTCATGTAAATATTCTAAGTCAGAAAATGCAACAAATGGATCTTTTAGTGAGAAATTATAAGAAAAGGTAAACCTAATCCAATGTTTTGTAGAAAAACAAAATTGAGTTTTTGGTGTGATTCTTGTTTGTTTTGTGGAAAATGGGTTAGCGAGTGGTGGCTGAAGGTTTTAATGGCTATCATCCAAACTTGATGACCATGGCAAAATACTAGCAACCAAAGGAATTGCAAGGAGTTTTTTTGGTTTAGCATCTTTATGACCAGTTTCACCCAGTGACTGCCAGCAACCACTCGCTAACTGGGAATACACACTTTCCAACACTTATCAAGTATGTGAGCCTGTGTTACTGAGGTCTTAGAGAGTTCATCTCTGAATACTACAAAAAAATGTTGAAGCTTAACCAAGATTAGGTGAAATTTTACATACTGGATCTAAATCCCACTGAGGTAAACTGCCAATGAAATTGTAGTCCCTACAGTTTGTCTTCAGATCTGTCCAATACCTTTTTTTCTTTTTCTGACACATCTAATCAACTCTACAGTCCAAATCCTGAGTTCACTGATATGTGTTCATGGATGTTAGAATTTTGGTTTGTTTTTACTGTTTATATCTCTCTTCAAAAGACAATATTATGTCTTTTAAAGAAGTCATGAATTATTAATGTTAACATGCCCTTCTTGAGAAAACCTTTGTGAACACTGAGCTCTTCGGCACATCTTTATCAAAGCTGCTTCTGAGTTAGTTTTAATTTTTCAGGTGAACAGCATCAAGGAGTTTTTCAGACCTACATGTCTAAATGGAGAACACCAGATGTACTGTGACCGCTGCGGTCACAAAGTTGATGCTACTATTGTAAATGAAGAATTTTTTGTGATTTCTGAACATTGATATTGATTTAATAAAATTATAACAAAATGGCACACATTAATAACCCATATTTTTCACTCAGACAGATGTAATAAAACATCACCCAGATGTTTTGATTCTGCTGCTGAAGAGGTTCAGCTACAGTTACATGTCCTACTTCAAAACCAGCTGTTTTGTGGAGATTCCCTACAGCCTGCAAATACCAGAGGTATTTACAAAGTGTACTTTAATATTTGATCCAATTCATTTTTCTTTCTCACTTTGTTATTTTTTGTCCTCTGTGATCAGAGGGAGGTGTACGAACTGTATGCAGTTGTGGATCATTTTGGTGGTGTGAGAGGTGGCCATTACAGCGCAACAATCAAAACTCAGGATGAAGACAGATGGTATAAGTTTGATGATACTCAGGTCACACCGGTAAGGCTGATCGCGTTTTCTTCAGTGTAATTGAAACACATTCAGAAATTACTGTATTGTATGTTTATGTATAAACATAAAAGAAAAATTCATCATGTTATATTTGGGTTTTTTTTTCCTTCATAGCTTGATTACCAACCATTCCAGGAGAAGTAGGTTTTTGTCTTTCTTCTTGTCCTTGCTATAGATTAATTTGCAAATATATCAATATTTAAAGTTTATTTAAACACACATGTAATATAGATGACTGTACGTATGGAGTATTTTACACCAAACTCTAATCACAAGTGCGGATTGTATTTTTCAAAATTGTTTTAAGGTTTTTTTAAGTTGTGTTTTGTCTTTTTTTCTATTTCTTCTTCTAGATCCCAGAGTGCATATCTTTTATTTTACAGAAAGGCAAAAAGCAAGAGTCATAATTGTTACCACAGGCATCTGTTTCTTTATATTTTTTTTATTTTATTATGTATTTTTATTATTCATGCTGTAGATAGTTAAAACAGGCAGGTTGTCCACCTGCAATCAGTGGCAAATATGACCAGAGAGAAGACGCTTATGAGAAAGCAAAGTCAGTTATCACACTGCAGAGTCATAATACACACAAAAATGATGGAAAGTATAATTACAGTGATAATTAGTGTTGGATCTGAACTCTGCTGTAAATGAGATTACCCAGTAAATGAAGGTTTTTCAGGACACTTGGGGGAGAAATGGACACAAAGAAATTGTCCGGCATCATGAAAATTCAGGAGTGAAGTCAGTGACAGAGATGCAGCTGTGATAATCTAATAGACAGGTTGAGATTAGCGACGGAGAAGACAAACATGCAACAACTGAGGATGAACATCAAAAACAAGCGAATTAAATTTTTAAACTGATGCTTCAGCTTTTTTTTATTATAATATTATTTTTGGTTTGAAGAGCAAGAGAATCGATCAGGTTTAATTACACAGATGTTTGTTATAAATTAAAATGATTTTTTTAATTGCTTGATTCTTTAACAGAAACCCCTGGGTAAACACTCCTTCTACAATTTCTTCTCGGACCAACTGTAACGCACATAATTTCCTTAGTGATTAATAAAGTATTCTGATTATGATTCTGATAGTTTCAGGATACATGATCTGCCATTATCCAATGACACATCCGCCTACCTGTATCTTTTGCTCGTTCCTCCTCTTCTTTTCTCTTTTTTTCTACACTGAGCGCCTGAACTTTTCTTGTCCATCTTCCATTGGTTTTAATTTTGGACTTCAGTATTAACACCCATCCCCCAACCCGAGGATCACCACAACGAGCCCGTGTTATTATTCGATGCTGCTCCAGCCAGCCAGAGAGTCCCCCGCCGCCCCGCCCGGTGCCTATTCCATCCCCAAAATGCGCTGGCTGATGTCGGGGCAACATGAGTACGGGCAACTTTTTTTTTTTTTTTTGCCGGCCGATGCCCGTGATGCTGCCCTCGGCAACCGCCCATGTCGCCCATATCAAAAACCGCTACTGGACAGCTGTGTTTATCTTATTTTTAACTAATTTGTGTTGTAGTGAGAACCTAGAAAAAAATAATTTTCCTGTTGCCACTAGGTGGAGCTGTGCACCGAATAATGTGTGATATAAGCCGATCACATATTACAGACACTTTATTAGGTACACCTTGCTAGTACAGGCTTACACCTCCTTTTCAGAACTGCGTTAATTTTTTGTGGTATAGATTCAGCAAGGTGCTCAGAGATTTTTGTCCATGTTGATGTGATGACATCACACAGTTGCTGCAGATGTCAGCTGAACATCTTTTCATCTTAACATTAAATGTTCAGATGTACATTGAATGTAATTAAGTCTTCTCATATGGCATCATGCAGTTATTTTGTTTCCATTATCCTTAATCTTTCACGTTTCTATGCCTGTAGTTATGTTTCCTTGTTTTGTGGCAGGGGTGTCCTATCAGTTCTCCTGGCTCTATTCATGCTGCACCAGGCTGTGCCAGCATGCCACACCCAAAACACCTTCATCTCCCAGAGGAGGTTGGTGAATGAGTAGTAAACACTAAATGTGCCTCGAAAGGGATTTTTTTAAAAAAAATTCATTATTTATTTATTTATTTATGATTCTCTCCAGCAGTTATAAGAGGTGTGATTGCAGTAATATACTATCTAATCTAATTAAACAGAAATTGCAGTTTTAAGTGCAACTTCATACAGACAAACTTTCAACTGATTAAACTTAGAAATAAACATTTTTATTAAAATGTTACTGTACAAATGATGAACACAGATAAAAATGTGCTGTCTTGCAAAGTGTCTGCTATGGCATGTGTAGCCTAAAAACATGAACAATATTTGCAATCTTTAATCATGATTTTAAAAGTGAATCAGATGAATTAGATGTTTTACAAGCAGCTTTTATAAAGCAAACGTGGTGATTACAGGGTTTAAGACCATTAAGCCAGCATCAAAGCAACACAGAATGGATAAGTTAACATAAAATAACTGTGTGCAAAGATACATGCATACAGTGGATGCTTGTTAACCTCATTTGAAAAATAGAGTTATAAAAATCATATTTGACACCACAATTCTTCACCAAAATGGACATCACTGATACAGACAAAGGGTGAGTGACACTTAAACACAGGTACATGACAGACTTGTACAGGAAGACACAACACTAACTAACATAGTGGGGGAGACACCAACATGGGAGGAATCACACAATTACAGAAAAAGGTATGAAACTCAACATGCTGGGTCAAAAGACCCCAAAAACATGACAGTTATACCCAGAGCTGGATCTGAGAGGGGGAAGGAAAGTTCTGGAAAATGGTGATATGGGAGACAAGAATATTAAGCAGGGAAAAGATGTCTGACTTTTAAATAGTTTGAAATACACAACAGAACCAGATTTCTGCAACCCAAGTGCTCAGTTTGTTTAAGAGTCACTGTTGAGTGATTTTAGTGTAACAAGAAGCTAAAGCAGTGTGGAAGAAGTCCTCCACTCATATCTGAGAGTCTTCTGCAAGAGCCACTCATAATGAAGCTTTCTTTTAACTACCAAAGACCAATATTTGAGTTTCTTTTTTTATGAAATATTATTTAGATAACTCCTCTGGAAGATGTTGTTCAGTTAAGTGCTAAAATGAGGATCCATTAAAAGCCTGTTTCAACAGTTTTTGTTTTTATGATTTATTTTGAATTGTACTTTGTATAAATCCACTGTTGCTCTGCCAATTTTAAACTGGTTTAGCCAAACAATATGAAGAGTCAGTGACACTTTCAATATCAGCAGCACTGAACTCTTTAAACTCTTTGAAC